AATAATATTTATTATTATTATCATTATGAAATTAATCAGTTGCAGCAGTTGATATTTTTTTAATCTTGAATGATATACATGCTTGTAAATTAAAATAAAATTAATTAAAAAAAAAATTTCTTAAATAAAATAAAATTTCCAATTGTTTTGAAATTCCAAATTTTCAAATGTTTTCGCGGTTCAACGTATGCATTCTAAATAAATAATTTGCTTTAAAAATAAAATGAAATTGTGAAAATAAACAATGAATTTCCATATCTATTTTGCTCCTACAATTGTATAGTGAGAAAATATCCTTTTTATTAGAGAAACTTTGAAATTGCTACAATATTTTTCAATATTATTTCACACAATAATAACTGAGCTGGAATAAATAATTCAAGATTAAGTACACACGTGAATAAAAATTATGAAAAAGAAATTTTGAAAAAAAATTTTATTAGCAAAAAAACACATAATAATTATTTTATGTTTTTGAAGTGATTGCTTCATTATTAAGAGGATAAACTTTTTTCTATTATTATGTGCGTCATTCCCATAATATCATGGGAACCATTCCTATAATATTATAGGAACCATTCCCATAATATATTGAAGCTATTCCGTTATTGTATAGGAACGTTTCCAATAAATTATGGGTATGGTTCCCATAATGAGTATAGGATTAATGCCTATAATGATAATTTTATTATAGGATCCATTCCCATAATTGTTGGAAAGATTCCTATAAATTTCTCTCCGTGTAGTATACCTATTTGTTGCTCGAAATAATGAACGAGAAACTCCCAGATCGAATAGATCATTAAACACTCCACTTGGATTACTGCCGCCTCTGAATCGTCAATGATCGAATAGTAAAGCATTCATAGTTACAGCGTAGCACTTTCCTATAATACGCAAATGTCGATAATATTTCGCTGACTCTATCAGACTATTGAATTCTCTGCTCGTTCACACGAGTTGTAAAAGAACTTTGACACAAGCCAAAGAGTTCCCACTGAAATATATTGATCGTTATCACTTAAAAATAAAAATCAACCAAAAAATATATGACATTTCAATTTATTTTCCCGACAGAATGAAAAATTATTCATATTAAAATAGTGATAAAATTCACGCTTTAAATATTAGTACCCGTCACTTAAAGTTTTTTTTTTTTTTTGATAATTTATCGGTCTGAAACTTGTAATTAAATTACCGATTCTTGAACAACAATTAAGCGATAAATTTCAATTTTAATATAATAGTACTCGCATGTTTATTGTTACATGAAGTTATTAAATTTTCACATGGTGTAATAAACAAGAATGCATTGAAATTTCAACGACGTGTTCATCAAAATTAATTTAAAGCGTGCTCTTGATGGTCATACTGTTAAATTAAACTGTAGGTAGTAAGGGAGTATAATGGGATGATAATCGGTTGAATTTCTTCACGTACGAAATAAACATATGATGCATGAATAAATTAATATTCATTCACTAGTCCGATAATAATTTGAATAAAATAACTGGTATATTATGATACAATTGCGGCAAAGTTGGTTAATAAACACGTTCAATGATAATGCACACCTGGTGTGATGGTAAGCGTGGGATATAATCGTAAAGCTTCTTGATATTCTCAAGAGCATAATTAACAGGTCCATGCCAACAACGTGAGATAAAATTTCACGTTAATAAAATACAATAAATGTCACATGGTATTACTAAATTAACAAACCGTATAAATTCTAATGAACGCTAAATTATTATATTTTTAATTAAAACTTAATACCGCATTTTTCACAACAAGCAACAAAGCTAAATGAATTTAAATGTCCTCCAGAGGTTATACACTAACAATTTGTGTTATTCCGTTCAATACCCTAAATGTCAGTTAGTTAATTAACTAATTTAATTAGCTATAATTCAAGGAGAGTTAATTCCCAGGGGATAACTAATTATCCTACCACACCCTAATCCGTCACTGGCTGACTGAGTGGGAGTTGATTGGATAATTAGTATACATTGTACACCTTCATACAACAAAGTTCCAGTGTTACATCAAGTCTTACTAAAAATTATCAAATTACTCCGTCAAAAATTAAACAATAGCGTCGCTTTGATTTTAAAACTCCGTCGAGATGTTGAGTGACGTCAGGGAGAAATATCAATTGAAAATCTTAAAAATTGCATCTGCAGCAAGCATTCGAATTTATTTACTTATTTTTAAAAAAATAATAAATAAAATAAGATTACAAACGTCAGCAAGTCGTTGAACAACGAACGGATTTTGCAAGTGACATGAAAATCCTAGTCTGTACTGTAGCCAACTCCCTTCGGAGGGAGCTGAGCCTTTACTTAGCGGAGAAATAACGGCAGCCAGAACTGAGTCGAGGCTGTGTGAGAAAACTCGGAGCTAAGGGAGATACGTGGATACTCCGGATGACCGTTAAGGGACACAGAGATGATAGGAGTGAGATGGTAATATTATAGTCGCTGACGTGGTCACAGGATACAGTTTGCAACCCCGAGTCCCGAGTTGAGATTTCGAGGCAAAGTTTTCCGAGCTTGCACATAGTCTGATCATCGGTTTACCCCCTTGGCTCTGCTCATTCTCTACTTCTGTTTAGTATGTACTAGTTGCTAATGTCTCAGCATCATTGCACATATACGCATATCTACATGTACAAGTTCTCGTAAGTTCTTGACCCTCGGTATCAAAGAGATATTGCAGACACTTTGCCCTCTACTCCAAGTAGATGTAAAGGAGCCAGAGTAAATGTGCAGTGGGTGGGATGGGAGAATTGTGAATTTGAGTCTATCTTCTATCAGAGGATCACCAGTCGCGTGGAAGAGACCCTCGTAGTTGGTCAAGTGTCCGGCAACTATTCTGGACTGCTTCAATCTGCTATGACTGCTGCTTAAACCGTATGCTGGTTGTCGTGAAATGTCTTTGGAGGCAGTATTGATCCTAGACCAATAAGAGCAGGATGAGAAAGAGGAGAGAGCTGAATAGTCCACAAGACAAGGATATTTGTCGTGAGTCGTGAGGTCGTGTCTCCATCGCTTGACCTCATCGTATATTTTTATACCTCTGCTCCCTCATAGCCATGGCAAATCGAAACTACATAAATCAACCTTCTCGATTCATTTTTATAACGCACGCGCATCTATATATAACCCACCGCCTTAATGTATATATATTTTATATAAAATATATAGGTAATAAAAATAAGTTATGGTTCTACTTTAAATTAATCAATATAACATATATAAATAAATAAATATAAATGGGGTTACGATAAATTATTGAAGATCGTGAAAAATTCTACACGTAACTTTACTGCAGATAAGAGTTATCGTAACTTGCAACAGGTGATACTGAAAAAAAAAGGTTATAAAAATTATTACTTACTTACTTTTTTGTCGAAAATTTGAAGAGAATAGAATAGAATATTGATTTTTAACGGTACTGTGATTTCAAGTGAAGTGAATGGTGATTTTTTTTATTCAAACTTGTTTTTTTGTTCATTGTTATAACTCGGTCTCTGCGGGGACATTTCGCGAATTAAACTTTATAGCGGTAGACAATGCAACGGGGTGTAGTACGCACTCAGACATTGACAATGAAACAAGCTCAGATAGGAATAGAGGGCCGGAAAAGATGTAAAGTAAAGAGTTGTGTTGAATGAAGAGAAAGACAGAATTTTTTTGATTGTCTCTGCTGGAAAAGAAGACAATTCAAGAGCAATATCCGGTCTTGAGAGGAATAAGATCGCCAGATCCGAGTATCATATTTTTGAAGTGAATTTTCTTCAGAAGGGAGATGCAATTTCTGGGACTATTTCTTCTGACAATAGCGTTTGTTACATATATTGTGTATGTTATTTTATGTACATCCGGGTAATCACTGCTCTTTCAACTGCAATTCTATGTTTTTAAATGAAAAAATGTGTTTATATACGGAAGAGTTTTCAATTTATTTAAATTAACAATTAAAGCTGTTTTTTGTTCAAAAAAAAAATACGATGTGGTTTTTTGATATTTTTTTTTATTAAAAAAAGAACAGTAAGCGTATTAATTGAGGTTTAAATAAAGAATAATATTCAAAGATTAATCCATTTCGATTCAATATTTAAAATCTGATGTACAATGGATTTGAATTGAATGCATGGATGAAAAACAAAAATTCGTGCTGTGTATAAATGAAAACATTTGTCATTTATGAACTTTGTTATTCTGTTGTGTGTATTAAGTCTTTTATATTTCATTTTATTTTCAACATTCATTCAACCCAACAATACAGTTGCATTTATAATCACCGTATATTCGCGGTAATAAAATTGGCCATTGCGCGGGAAATATACTCGCGCTTTAGTTATGAATAAAATTATATTCTAGCACTCGCACTGAAAAAAATCAACAAAATCAGCATTACCATATACTAAAAAAAGAAGGTTGGAATAATTTCAAATATTGAATCACCACGAACGTTAAAAAAATAATTTGTGAGGCAAAAAAATATATTGTCAACGGAAAAAAGACAATAACAGGGATGCAGTGCTGCTGGTACGCTGTGAGAGAAGTCAAAACCACGTGACATTTTTATCATTGATAAATAATGCATGGACTGTCGTAACCGCGAGAATTAGAAGTAGCAGAGGTACTAGAACCAGGGGTAAATAAAATAAAACTTTTTATCTTCTTCATTTTTCCTCTCACTCTTTTCGCTGGTTGAATAAAACAAAGCCCGTCCTGAGAAAAGCACACAAAAACTTGTCATCGGCGTTGTTATATAGAGGATACTACACTAAGACATTTCGTGATTTTATTTCTCCTTCATCCGTATAATAAATTCAGTATTAAGCGAACCGACTCCGATGTCTTTTATTATCTTATACTTTCTTTAAATAATATTTAAATAAAATTATAAAATGAATACACTGTAAGGTAAAAATAAAATACATATTTTTAATTATTAAATCGTACAGAACTTGGTTGAATTTTGGTCTTTAATTATTGAACTATTCCGGTAAGAGGTCGGTGATCGGCTCCCAGTGGGTGGATAAATTTAATTTCACTGAGAAGATTGATAAGCATAAAAACTGAATAAATGGAGATAAGTAAATAACCATAGCTCTGTCGCAAGGAAAAGCCCGTGATGTTCAAATAAAGAAATGAAGTAGTGAGTGAACAGAGAAGGAAAGCCAAGCATCCTGGCATCATATCGCTGTTGATTATGTGAGTACGATAATCATGATGCTGAAAGGCTGTGTAGGTCCAATGCAATCCGAGGCCAACTAGCGTATTGAAAAGAGGTCCGCCGAAGCAAGCTGAGTAACCCATTCGTGCGAACCCTTGACGCGCTATTGCCACATTCGAGATGAGATCTGAAAGGGTAAATTATCGGATAAGGTCATTCAGGGTTCAAATAACACCGCGTCGAACTCAATCATGATAAAAGAGTTGTGATCAAAGGAAATTTTACGGTTATTTGATAATTTATAAAAGGGTAGTTTTCTTTTTTCTTTCATTTTTTAGTAAGTGAGTGAGTGAGTGAATGTTGTATGAGCTTTTTGAAGAGCTACATCATCCGATGGAGAGTGTTTTTCAGTTGAATTAGCTTCACTCATGAGTTGAGGATGCAAACAGACTTACCTCCAACGCTGTTACCCCAAGCTAGAAGGGTTAATCCTAACATGGCGTCGGATATTCTGCTAGCAAAACCGATACTCTCCAGGACAGCCATCACTTCGCCTGCTATCACCCAGACCACTAGGGTTGCTCCCAAAAATCCCAGAAGTGCAAAAGCCTGTTATGCATCAATGTTATTGATTATATTATTATGATTTAAATTGATATTACCTTCTGCATTATTCATTTCAATTTAATAGATATTGTTTATATTAGTTATACTTATTACATTGAAACTTTTTTTTTATATTTGTAACAACCCGAAAATTGCTTACATTTTTTTTATTTCTAGTTGGTCTATTTGTCAATATTTTTCTGTGCATAAAAATATTTCTATTTGCTCTTAATATAACTGTTGACACAAACAATGCTATTATTTGGTTTAATGATTTTCGTATTGGGAACGATTTGTTTGCATTGACAAATAAATTTTTTTTTGTGAATGAAATTTGAATCGTTTGTAGGAATGTTAACCGATTTATTGTAAAAATTTTTTTTATTGAGAATATATTTTTTATAAATGAGAAATTAGCACGGAAAAAGTTGAATGAAAAATAATAAATTCGATTGAATTATAATGAATTTACCGCAAAAGTATGAAAGATTTTAAGAGAAAAATAATGTAAGAACTACATTTATTTTATTCAATTATCTCTGAAAGGTGCTGCTCGTATTTAAGTTAATGATTGACTTAAAAAAAATATTGATCTTAATTTCTGATGTATTAAAAACTTTACAAATAGAATTGACAAAAATAAAAATGAAGTAGAGTTCATTTTATCGACTAAAAAAATTAATATAATGCTGGAAGAAAAGTAAGCTATCAAATAAACAGAAATAAATAAGTAAAAATAAAATTACCATAAAATCAATAACTTACATTGTGGTATTTTGGTGGTTGATCACGACTAGTTCTTGCAATTAAAATCACAGATACTACAACACCAAGAACAAATACAATTACAACTAATGGCAACGGTCCAACTTCAACGTCATCAACTGTAATTGAATAGTTATCAAAAACTCATTAGTATAAAGTTTAACAATAACACTTAAAGATAAAGTACCTTTTAATATGATGACTGCTACTGTGGGCAAGACGCTTGGCTGAATACAGTTAAGTAATTTAGACCATCCTGACTTTGCAGCGGTTTTGTTGACAACCGGTATGATAAATTGCAAAACGAGCATTATCGGGATCCGCAAAATAAGTATGATTCTCAATAAAAAGTTAGCATTCTTCCAATCGTATGCTTTAATAGGATTCATGTCAAAGAAAAACTCAGCAAATAAACCTTTAGGTCGTCCGTTCTGAGATAAATCCACTTGTGAGCTTGAGGGAGATTCATCACTGTCCAACTGGACTTTAGATATTTCTGTCGCTATCGCGAGATCTGCCAATAAAGCATATCACAATAACGTTAGTTATTATAAAGCCAAAACTAAAAATAAAAATTCATTCTGTCCAATATATTTTTATTATATCACTGACCTATTTTTGTCTTTATGCTGAATGCACCGGCTTTAACTCGTTTGCTGATATGCTCTTGTGCTGTTGTTGGTGATAAATATGTCTGCAACATATCATCGTCTTGAATTTGTAGAATTTTATCTGATAAAAATAAATAAATACTTTATCATCAGTCTAAAGTTTTTTTTTTTTTTTTTTTTTCAATAATAAAAATTAATTAAAAAGTTTATTTTAAATCATACCTTTGCGATTAACTTCGCGGTTATCGATCCATTGCATTATGACGACACATAAAATAAACAAAACATAAATTAAAAGTAAACCTGAAACCAAAATCTTAAATTATTACCAACTTTACATTAAATTATCTTATTACGGTAAAATCTAAAAAGATAACAATGAGATAATGGATAAATAGTGAATAAAGTTTTGATATAAACGTAACTCAGACTTTCCCACAATTCTATAACGTCGTCTGCAGAAATATAAGATACCCAAATAATAGACGAAACGTAAAAACAACAGTCGCGCATAAATGTCTTGGCAATTATATCAACCGGAGCGACTATTCCAATTGTACCGGCAATAACTGCTGTCACAAATACTCCGGCTCCTATTAATTCCACAAACATTATCAATTCACCGATTCCTTCTTCCGAAACCAGGGAAGTAAACACATCAGGTGCGCCATTTCCGAAAGCTAAAATCGTTACACCTGCAATATTTTCCGACAAACGTAGGACCTCGGCAATTACTGACAATGAGGGACAAAAACTGTAAAAAGAAAATTAATATTGATGAAGAATATATTTTTACTCTGTACACTGAAAAAAGTGAACTGTAATAAATAATAGTTGATTTATAATAAGTAATGATTAACTGCTCAAAATTCCCATTTCAAACAGTAAAATCGTGATTTTAATAATCACTATGTAATATTTATCATTTAAATGCTACAATGTGTTCTTCACATGAAAGAAAATACTATTTCAAACAGTAATATTCGCCATATGAATGTCTAAAATGTTAACCCGTCAGCACTCACGTTATGAGCATTTTGCTCACGCAACAACATCCGACTTATAGAGCGGCGCTGTAGTGCAAGTGAGACACTAAAATTCACGTGAGTTCTGACGGGTTAAAGTATAATAATTAAGAAATTGGACTTTAATATTTATCATTTCGTACCTAAAAAATGATCGCTTGATATGTAAAAAGTATAAAATACAGTTACTAAGTCTCTAATACAAGCAACGTTAATATTTACAAAGTAAAATGGTAAATTTTCAACACAACGCTAAAAATGAAACTATAATTATTGACTTGGTTGGACTGGTAAAATATATATTTTAAGAGTAGAATTTTTACTGTTTCAAATGTTAAATTCTCCCAGAGTGAGACCCCCTTCTCCTTATCTGAGTTTTCCTGTCATAGTATGGATTATATATTGAAATGGCAATTTTTACTGTTTGAAACTGTAATTTTTTAAGATGAGAGAGTCATTATTTACTATAGTGACAGCTACTAATCACTTATTTTCAATAATGAAACTGTAAATTGTGGCTTTTACACTTTCTACATTAAGTTCTGTAATATTTATATTTTTGCTACCCCGATGCCCGCTTTACTGTTTGAAACTACAAAAATTAACCGGAATCCGAGTGAATTTTACAGTTTACTTTTTTCCGTGTATCATAAAAGAAAATTCTAAGATTCAATAAGATTTAAATTTAAAAAATCTTATTTGAAAAGCTCGGGATATAAGAGAATTATTGTTGACTTTTTATTTATAAGTTTTCTCGGTACTTTGTCAGTTATTACAAGAATCTCAAGACCCTTCTGGCATAAAGTTGTATATCTGTATATCAAGCTCACAGCTACAAGACAATAACTAACACGAACACTAACAATAACAATAACACGGAGGGTGAATGAGAAAGAGTAAAACTGAAAAGTTTATACGTACAAGTTGTCAGCCGACGTTCCAAGCACCAGAAATAAATATAATAACCATAGAACACACAATATAATCCCGGGGATGAATAAATGTGACTTGCTTGAATCAAATGAACAGAAAAGGATTTCTGCATACTGAATGTACGAACTTAATGTACAGTCACTTGTACTCTTGACCCACTCACAGCGTTTGTCGGGGTCTACATTCCACACCCAAGAGCAATCATCCTAAATACCAATTAATTTATGATGAGTAGTGTTGTTTTTTTTAACCTTAAAAATTTATAATGTAATTTTTTGTTTACTTTAGTTATTGTTATCCCTTTTAAACGATGTAACAAATTTCTCACTCTCATTTTGATGGAAAAATTATTTTATTTAAATTTTTAATCAATTGCTTCAAATTTAATTAATTATTTTATGCAGCTTTGATTACAAACTGCATTATTGAATTGATATTATAAATAATAAAATGAATCGACGCGAAGTTGGCAATGATGGAAAAATAAAATTAATCAACTAATCAATTATTAAAATGTATTGAGTTTTATTTAACAGGATATAAACGAATGTGGATGCGAATGTTGAATGTGATTCTGGATAAAACCAGATGTTACAAAAAATCAACGCTTACTTCTTTTTTTTTTCATTTACAAAAAATAAAAGTAGATTAAAGTGAAACAAGATAAAAATGCAGGGAATTTAAAGCGAAAAAATGTTTAATTATTTAGTTATTCAGAATGAGTCGGTATCTGGATTTTTTTATTCTCAATTAACCGCATCGAAATAGTCTGGGTTCTCAAACAAATCTCTGCAGACGACAACTATCTACATAGATACAAGTATATGTCTATATAGTAGTACCTCAAGAGCCCAACTTGAAATAATAGTTCAGTGACACATACAACACATCGGAAAGTTGTTGTTAGTTTGCCATTACATGCTGAGGTGAGATTGAACAGGACACTCGTCTAGCCGTAGACGTGGCCGTATAGTCGTCCACTATTCTCTACTCAACTCGTCCGCAAGGCAAACGAGAGGTTCATTAGCGTCCAAGAGTCTGGCGCTCATCCATCTCTGCTTGAGTTGACGAGTTGCGCTACCAAAAGAACCCCATTATGCAACGCCAACTAGGGATACAAAAAATACAATAAAAAGTGACTTATTTTTATTTTTTTTAATAAAAATAAAACTTTAAAAAAATTTTCTTGAGAACACTTTGACAAACAGACTACTGGATATATCGAGGTCATAGTTAATAAGTTACACGTCAGTTTTAAATTAAATGAATAAATATTATAAAAATGTGGAAAATTTTCGGAGTTATTGATTATTAATCAGCTAGATTTATTTCAGGACACTAGATAATTTAAAAAGCATATAAAAGTTCAAGAAATTTTGAATATAAGTTTATAAAATTATTCTTAAATATTTTTAACAGTCTGTAAATTTTTTTTTTAATTTTTAAATAAGAATATTCAAATTTTCAATGATTGTAGAAATTTTATAAACAGAAAATGAATGAAATAATACTTGAGCGTTTAACCATAAAATTAAAATGAAAACTTGGGTCGCTGATAAGAGTTTAACTATCAAAACTAGTGGTTTCATAATTACAAAGATTTATTTTATTTTAAATATCTTTGTTTGTTTTTTATTGTTATTGTGTGCATCGCATTCACAGCAGTTACTCGGGAAAGAAATATAAAGCAAGAAAATGCAAAAGAGCTTTTTTTTCTAGTAGTAGTACGGTAGCTCTTATAATTAATACAAGCTTTGCTGTATAGCATTGTTCTCGGAACCAGGAAACATCGCTGCAGAAAATCTCTTTCACCTAAGAAGAACCGTTGCCAGCAAACGTAAACCTTTATTTCTTGACTTTATTCAACTTCAGACTGCTGCACTGAATTATAACTCAAATAACACAATATTTGCTATTCATTACTGAGCATCATTATTAAATTTAATTCTTATTGCTTATTATGCTATTATGTCGTTTTAGCTTATTATTTTCGGAAGCTTGTGGTTATAAAATTATATTAATTTAATATTACTTCAATAGGAGATGAATGACAATGGAATTGAAGCTTCTTGTTATAGTGTTGAAATGGAATTTTGTGCATTTAATAAGAATTAAGTTGCAGCACATCGAGATAAAAAATAATATTTTTTAAATGAAAAATTCTTTTCTTGGCAAATTCTTTTGTAAAATAAAATAAAAATTAAAAGAATCTTTTTAATTTATCTCGGATTCCGATATGTTTTATGTCGTTAACAATTGCATTTCGTAATAGCCATCCGGTACATACGTACTCGATATAGTTTGCGGAGTACTGTAGCACGAAATTCTTTTATTAAAGCTCCAATTGAACAGGGAGTACCGTTTTCCATTGACGTATATTTTTATAGAGCCACAGTAACAAAGTGTACAATAATTCTCGGTTAAAAAATATAAAAAGTAAAAATAAAAACAAACAAAACCTACTCTCATTCATCACATCACTTTTAAGTGGATTTCAACTTCTCCTTAGAAATTAAAGAAACTTATTTTATAATAAAACATATAATAGAAAAGATAAAAACTTGTAGACGAGTAGCCATCAAAAAGTAAACTTTCATTACTGTCATATCATTGTGAGAAATGACTCGATGCGTCAACCACGATGACAAATTATTCAGTGATAGTTGCCTGTATCCGCTCGCGCTGATATTGCTGGGATCTCTTCGAGTTGGGAGATAATTGTGTCCACAATATAATTATTTATAACCAAGTGAAGTTAAACTACAGATCATTCACTTCAAAAAGTCTTCAGGCTTTGACCTAACGTGAATTGAAAGTCGTAGAAGTAAAACTTTTATAATTATTTTTTTTTTTTTTATTAATTAATGATTTAATTAATTTGTAAAAATGAGACCGACACTATTCATTACGGTCTTATTGAATTTATTAATTATTTGCTATTCATTGGAAGACTGGGACGGTTCATCGGTTTGTAGAAAAAGAGTCAGGTAATATTCCCTATTGAAATGTATTTCATTACAAAATTTAATTAAATATTTATAAGCATGGCCTACATTCATTTAATTAATGCTGAACATTATTCAAGTAAAATTTGATTACATTCAAAAATATTTTGACATTTCAATATTAGCAGATTGCCAAATTTAATTTAAGAAGATTCTCCATTCATGCGAAAACAGTAAATTAAAAATTATTTTTTCATTTAAGGAGGTCCTTTCGCCGCCAATGTAAAATAAAAAATATTAGATTATGAGTAAATTAAATTTTTTTCTAATAGTTGAATTCCTTATTTATCTAATAGTGAGGTTTAAATTATACTTTACCGGACAAATTTTTGAAAAAATAAAATTTTTAAATGTTAGTATTTGTTCAAAGTCTTACGAGAAAGTCAGACGTTTGCAGTATTTCTCGAATTATACTATCAGTCATAGATTAGATGAAGTAAAAAAAAACTAAAAATTAGATTTTCGAAATATTCAGGTTTCTTTTTTTGCAATAAAATATATCAATTACCGAGATATTTATTGAGAAATTAATAATTAAAAATCACAAAAAATTCTCAAGCAACCTACGTTAAAATGGAGTCAAAAAATTTGGCAACGTTGCGTAGCGCGCGAGCTCCAGACCATTTAATAAATTCAAACTAATTTATTTATTTACACTGACAAAAAAACTTAAATTTTTTTTTTTATTTTTAAAATTTCAATGATTAATGCCTCATATACTATTTATTATTTAATTTTAGGAATTTTTATGGGTTTTTTATTTTAATTTATCGTATATTGACTACTACAATTGTTTTGACTCAACTGGAGCGAAAGGATTTCCTTAAAAATCACTCTAATATCTATTATTATTTATCTTAATCAAACAATATATATTCAAACTATTGCTGTCTGAAAATATAAAAAAATTACCGGCCAGAAAAAAGTTAAATTATTCTTAATAATTTTTATTTCAGCAAACAAGTATCGAGATACGTTCCATACATTGAAACCTACAAGAAAAGGATATTTATCTTCAAAAAAACATTATCGAGATACAATTATCGATGGGAGGTAAATTTTAACAACCTAAATTAAAACTAAAATTACAGTTCGTTAATTTACTACATAAAAAAAAATGATCGGTCATAAAAATTTCATTTTAGCACCACACAGAGTGGAACATTGAAGATACTTGCTGCCCGGGGTACGCAGAAGATCTTAACGTGTGTCGTCCGATTTGCAGCGGAGATTGTCCAAATGGGCTCTGTGTACGTCCGGACGAGTGCTCTTGTGACGTCGGATACTTACTAGTAGATACCGAGAGCGGTCAAAAATGTGAGCCACAGTGTCCATTGGGCTGCAATTTTGGTAGATGCACATCCCCAAACACCTGCACTTGTAACGACGGCTATGAATTGGTGGACAATGAATGCGTCCCTTCTTGCACCGCGCCCAAGTGTGGTCACTTCAGCACCTGCATGTCCCCCAACTACTGTATCTGTGATCCCGGGTACGAAAAAGCTTCTGATTCAACAATTGAATTTCACTGCGAACCTATTTGTGATCCCAACTGCGGTGATAACAGTTATTGCGCATCTCTGAATGAGTGCCTCTGCGACCCAGGCTACAAAATTTCGCCCAAAGAATCCTCATCAACTGGATCCTCCTCAGAGCCTGTAACATGTGTACCAGAATGTTCTCCAGGTTGTGGAAATCACAGCTCGTGTATCGCTCCCAACAAATGTGAATGTCACTCCGGTTACGCGTCATCGAGCGATTTGGCGGAACAGAACGGCGACTCAATGACCCAATGTTATCCAGTCTGTGTACCTTCCTGCGGTCCTCACGGCACCTGTGAGTCTCCAAACAAGTGTAGCTGTAACACGGGGTTCAATTTGATAATCGAACGCAACACCACAACATTGGAGATGACATCAGTGACATGTCAGCCTATTTGTGATCCCCCGTGTGGAATCCGTGGAGACTGTGTCGCCCCGAACACGTGTTCCTGTGATAAAGGATGGAAAATAATGGTCACCCAGCTTGCCGACAAGATCGACCGCTACTGCACACCGCACTGCGAGCAAGCTTGCGGCGAGTTTTCAACCTGCATCAAAACGGATGTATGCGAGTGTCATCCGGGTTACCAAATAATCCCCTCGGACCAAGCCCATTTAAATTCCTCCGAACCCATTAACTGCCGCCCTATCTGCAAAAAACCCTGCATCAATGGAGTCTGCGCTTCCCCAAACAATTGCGACTGCAATGACGGCTATATTCTAGACACAGATGATCCCTACAACTGCGAGCCGAATTGTGGGAAAGAAGGATGCATCAACGGGTTCTG